GAAAACTGCATTAATCTGTATGTGACTACACTGTTGACACCGTTAGAAAGAAGCTACTAATTTTAAAACCTGATGAGGAGATGTATAGTACACGCACTCAGCTACATGTAGTTGCAGTTATGTTAAAATGGGTGGTATAAACAGCAGTTTCATGTGATTAAACAGAACTTACTGCTTGAATGAAATTACTGGTTTATTTTGGATGCTTTGTTGCTTTTAATCTTGCATGGAATTTATTAGACAAAGAAACCATTAGGACTACCAGCACTTTATTTTGTTTAACAGAAACTAAAATCCTGCAGCAGCTAACAAAAATATGTAATAACGTGAAGAGACTTCAGCAACAACTGAAAGATGTGAAACATACATCAGAGTGTAAGTTATGCAAACAGATTTTAAAACATTTTCCTTCATAGACAGGTTCCTTTGAATATTGCTTATGATTCTCTTACAGTCTTCGGATGCTTCTGTGGTTTGCTCTTCCAGGAATCTGGGAAGGGAGAGATAAGGAAGGAGAAATGTCAGAAATGGTAAAACCTCTTGCAGTTCTCAGCAGAAACTGAGAAATACATGTTGTCCCAGAAGTTACATGGGTTTGTTTTTTCAGAATGCTGGAAGTCAAGAATTTTCTATATGCTTTTTTTAATGTACAGTAGTTTTGTAGTGCAGTTTATCATCTGATAGAAGGTCACAGAGTATCTTCATGGAACTAATTTCAAGCCATCCACAGATCATCTAGCTTGAAGCGCAAGCAGAAATATTCTGCATGAAATGCTGAGGCAACTTGTTCAGTTTGATTTGAACCTCTTGGGAAACAAGCACCAAAAGAAAAATTCTTTTCTAAATGTACTGCAGTGTAATTGAACTCAAGCTGAAGCTCTTGTAGCAGCTGAGGATGCTAGATGAAATGCATGTCATTTCATTTATTGAGTGTCTATACTATAAAAAAAAAAGCATCTTCTTCCTTAAATCATTAGCAGAGATGCCAGATCAAGATGTACGTGGAACTAAAAGTTACAGATGATATAATGGTGTCAGTTAGGTCCAAGTTAAACTGTATTCATTGCATCTGTAGGGTTGTTCTGCAGGTTTAAAATGCACACATTCCAAAACATTTGTCTACCATTGCACAAGAGGTCTTCTCTAAACAGCAGGCTTACCCACCCTCTGCAGATGAAGTTCACAGCATGCTGACAGTACAGAATACAAGTCTTAATTTCTGAAGTCACTTTGTAAGTCTAGCTTTGAATAAAGCAGTGAGCTGTAGGTTAAATATACTTGGTACAGTCTGGTGTGGGAAAAAAGATTAGAATGTGCTTTCAAAGTCACTAACTGCATTGTTACAAAAGACAAAAGTGGAAACTCTTTACTTTAGGATAAGGCTGTCTCATTTTCTGAATCGAAGGTTACCTAGAATAAGATTTTTGTTCAACTGAAGTAAACATTTATATCAGGATTTGTATTTAGTTGACTAAGTCACTGTGAAATCATGCCTTTTGAATAAATGAGGGTCTTGTAAAAGAAGTGGAATTGTGGCTTTTTTTGTACTCTGAAATAATGGCATTTCAGAATCCTTTATATTCTCTACAATTATGGATAATGGAGAATTATTATTAAGATGTTTTAAACTTCTCAGGTGATATGTTCTTATTTTCCTTTTTAGTTGTTGACGAGCTCAAGGAAATGTTGGAAGAAATTGAAATTGCAATCAATACTTTTAAAGATGAACAGAGACAAATGTACGTTTATGTCTGCTTCAGTTACAAAAATGCTTTCCTGACACACAATGAAAGCTTGTATCAATCAAACTATTCTTTTTATTTTTCTCTTTTGCTGTAGTATGTCAATCAAAACTCAAACCATTAACACATTAACATTCCAAAGAGGCTGTTAATATAGTTGTTGCATGGTTTAACATAACAACCATTTGCTTATAAAAAGGCTATTCAGATTCAGAGAAAAGCTGCAGAACAGATTAGATTGTTTGGTTTTTTTTTAAGTGAACTTTTTTTTTCTCCTTTCTTTCCTGTGGTGTCAGGAGAGGATTGAGTGAATTGTTTGCCTCCCATATGTGTACGCTTCCACTAAAAGGGTAACTTAATTCAAATTCTATTGCGCTTCATTTGGAATCGTTACAACAATGTTCTCATCTGTGTTACCATGTCAGTTCTTAATCTTTCAAGAAATTTTTTTGTGGCATTGAGCAGTTCCAAAGTTCATTTTCTGTGAGCATTGACTGTTGGATTCTTACACTCCAGTGTTCTTTCTCTTCTTAGATATGAACAGCTTTTGAAGGATGAAAAAACTGCAGTTAATGAGCTCAGCATCTTTGAGAAAAAAGTGGAACTGTGGGCAACGAGCAGCTCAACAACAGAAGAAGTTTTGAAGTTACCATCAGCTAGGATCTCAGTTAATAAAACACTGGGAAATCATCTACCTGCAGAAGTTGTAGAGTTTGAAAGATTTCTGCAGCAAACAGGGGGGAGGCAAGGAGGTTGGGATGACGGTGATCATCAGAATTTTCTTAAAGTGTGGACTAAACACAAAGGGAAGCTGTCCTACGTGGATGAAGCCCTCAAGTATCTCTGTGGAAGAACAAAAGAAGATGTTGAACAACATGGCATATGGTATCGAGAATTTCTCATTTTACAAGACAAAAAAAAAGAGGTAAAATGACTATTCTGGGGGCTTTGTAGCTTTAAGGAAAATATACATATTTTTAAAATACATGCACTTGTTATTTTTGTATTTGCTTGTCTAGGGGTAGTGCTCAGTGGATTTCTGTTACAGTTGGTGATAAGCAACTGAAATCTTCTTTAGCATCCTCAACTTAACAAAATCTTTGTCTTAAAGAGTTACAAACAAATGTAGACCTGACAGCATACTGATATGGACTGAGTATTGCAAGAGTGTATTATAAATACTTAAATGGAAATTGTCCAGCATGTTAGATGCCAGTCTCAGAGCAGTAAGCTATCCCATTTGAAGCTGCAGTTCTTGTTACATGTCCTTTAGAATGTCTGTCCCATTATGTAAGCAGTACACCAGTCAAATTCTGATACAGAAAACTATAATTCCTTCAAGAACTATATTTATTTGAAAAACAAAAAATATACAGACATACATTAAAAAGAAGAAAGTAGAATTGCTATTCTGAAGAAAGAAAAAACCAAAACAAAACAAAAACATAAATTTGCATTGAGGAAAAAGACAACAGTAGTCATAATTATCCCAAGATAATATGAATTCCATAACTTATTTCAGCTGGCAAGTCTTGAGCCTCCCTATGTGGTGCCTAAAATAAAAAAAAAAATGAATGAATGTAAGAAGGCAGAAATAGGTTCTGCTCTTTTGTCTTTTTACCTTAAATAGATTTGTTATGCTATCTTCAGTTTGTATTCTTGTAGCATATATTTTTATCAGACCCAATCAACAGGAATGTGTAAAATTTTTTTTTTAATGAAGATCTTTTTTATTTCCTGCTGTTCTACTGCAGTTAATTAAGAAATGGAAAGAAAAGCAGCAGAGAGAAAAAGAAGAAAAACTGAAGAAGAAAGAGAAATCAGAAATTGTTCAAAGGCTTCAGTATGAAGATCAGATGCAAAAAGCAGAATAAAGAAGACGACAACAGGCAGCAATTTCAGCATGGAAAAAACAGAAAGCAATAACATCTGTGATGGAACAAGCATCACGAGTAAAACTAGAGCAAGAGAAAGAGAAAAAGAAACTAAAAGAATGCCAGCACCAATGCCACATGAAGTTACTGGTGGAAAGGAATACTTTGCAGAACAAAGAGAAGCTTGAGAAGGAAAAAAGAGAGAAAGCTGAAAAGGAGGAGAACTGCTGCAGAAGAAATTACTGAATTTCAAGAGTGAATTCGTAATTAGCTCTCCATTCACGCATACAATTATGTTAAATTTACCAATTTCCTTGTATGATTCAATCTGCTAAATATTTTCATACTTTTGATTTTTTTTTTAAATCCCTGACACTCTAGTTCTACTCAGTTAAATCTGTTTTTAATTTGGTAGGAGTAACAATGTCCGTCAACACCCAGTATAAAAAATTTGTTCTGGACAAAGATATTCTTTTCCTCAATATTTGAGTTCTGGCTGTAGGATTATTGAAGTCTGTGTTTCTAAATATAGAGATGGTTTTGTTTAATTCAGTCTGTTTGGGAAAAAATGGCTGAGTTGATGTCGACTTTTTTTTTTCCATGGAGAGTGAGAGACCAAATTGTTACATACAGATACAGTCATAAAAATAAATGTTTGTCGATCCTGCTGCTTTCAGTAGCTGTAATATCTAGTTATGTCCCGTCTCAGTGTGAATTTGTTACTTGAGAACAGGTATTGCTGTCCATATTCACACTAAATTTCATTCACAGACACCCTTTGTGATTTTTCAGTACTGTTTAATGTGAATTTATTCTGCACCAGGGCAAAAAAAGGTCAAGGCAAAAGCTGACAAATTGCTGCATATGTACATGTTTTGGTACCATTTATTTTCACTCAAAATATGTGTAAGGGAATTAGCTTATCCTCTTCTGTCTGTTTCAGTATCTATGAAAACTTAAGCTACAAACTGTGTAAAAGCAAGGTAAAGGAGTAGGGAAGCAAGGAAAAAAAGGAGATTGGCCAAATTAAGAGAGAAGGTGACACACCATCTTTCTGTGTTTTAACCTGAGGCACATGTCAACTTGGTCACTTGAACAACTTACTCTTTTTTGCTCTAAAAAGCAATTTTTAGCCTTTCTAACGGGTTGACGAAGGAAAAAAATCTGAAATGGTAAGCCACGGGTCTTACCAGAAAACATTAACCGTGCAGACACACCCGTTCCGTGTTTAAAAACAAGAAGCAGGAGGCTTTACCCTCCAGCACCGCTTGCTGTAAGCCGCCAGCCGGAATCGCAGCTGCCTCCTGTCAGCTCCTCTCCCACCCCCGCCGTAACGTCACTCCGGGGCCGCGCGTGACGCAGCCGCAGCGCGCCGGTAGTGCTTGTCGGCAAGATGGCGGCGCCGAGCTGGGCGGAGGCGGAGAGGCTGGAGTTCCTGAAGGAGCGGCACGTGCGCTTTTTCCAGCGCTGCCTGCAGGTGCTGCCCGAGCGGTACTCGTCTCTGGAGACCAGCAGGTAGTTCTGCTTGCGCGCGGGGGCACGGACGGGGCTGTCCGCCTCCGCGGCCGGGCGGCGATCCCCGCGAGGTGCGGGGCTGGAGGAGCCGGCTGCGGCTCCGCACCCTGCGCGGGGCGGCGGGGCGGGCGCGGTGGGGTGGGGTGAGGTGAGGAAGGCTTGCGCGGCACGCTGAGCCCGCGAAGCGGACAGGTTCGGCCGGTGCTGGGCTGAGCGCCCCGGCGTCCGTGAGGGAAGACTTGTTGATCCTTTGTAATCTGTTTCCAGGCATGTGCCTCGTTCTTCTCATCCGCCCTGAAAGCGGATTTAAGGATAAATCACTCCAGGCTTTTGTCAGCGCGGAGGCTCGTTAGCGTGACAAAAGTCGTTTAAGTGTTCACTCGCTAGAGTAAAGCATTCAGACAGAAATGAAATATGTCAGTGCCAAGCATTCACCCGTTCACGGCCTCTGAATGCGTTCGTTTCAAATTGAGCTCTTTGCATAAAGTAGTATGTTATTTCTGAGGCAGAGGGAGATAAATAATTTCACAGTCAGAACTTGTGGAAAAAAAAAACAAAAAACTTTACATGTAAAGGATCTGGCATCTTATTTGACCAACGAAATCAAACGCTTCACACTTCATAATCTCTAGAAGTCGTTCTGTGAGGAGTCAAAGGACTTTGGCCAAGCCTTCCTGTTAAATCAAGCCTTCCTTCAATTCAGAGTGCACCTCACACAAACATGCTTCTTTTTCAACTGTGAGAGAACTACTGTGGGCTGTTGTGCATAATAACAAGGAACTTTATATTCAAGAAGATCATTATGAATTTTGATCTCAGAGAAGCAATGCTCTAATATGTTGAGTGTCAGCTTATGTTTCTGTGTACTTTGTCATTTAATTTAAATAGCAGCAAGAAGCCTGAGTGATTTTTTTTTAAAGCTCTATCTAGGCGTGAAAGCCATTGTGTAATGTCTGTTTGGAATCATAGCATGAAGGGCTACCATTAACCACATTAGCATGCATAGAAATGCTGAAGATATGAAATTTCAGGCTAGAAAAGAGGGAGCTCAAGAAGGATCACTGCATTCCATTATCTAGAAAATAGTTTCGGAGAAAGGTGGTTGTGCAGCCTTCAAAAGGGAGCACGGTGACTTGACAAGGGGCTATGAGACTAAGCTGCTTCAGGGAGAATCCTGCCTGCAGAGGAGAACACTCTTGGGAGACTTCACATAGCCTTTCAGTATTTAAATGGAGCTTAGATAAAAGATGGAAGCTTACTTTTTACACAGTCTGGTAGCGACAGGAGAAAAGGGAATGGTTTTAAATTAAAAGTGGGTACATTATCTTAGATGTTAGGAGGAAGTACTTCACTGAGAGTGTGGTGACACACAGGTTGTCCAGGGAAATTGTGGATGTCCATCCCTGGTGTCATTTAGGGCCAAGCTGAATGGTAAGTTGCCTGAATCAGACAGTCATGTTGAAACTGAATCTTTACAGTCCCTTCTACCCCAAGCCGTGGATGTAAGAAAAACATTCTGCCCACTTAGAGTAGTTATGAATAGGTTGCTTGGGGAAAGTGGTGGGATCTCTCTTAAGGACTTGGCCCATTGAGGCCCTGGGTAATCTAATGTAAGCCCCTGCTTTCAGCAGAAGGTGAGACAAGTGATCTCCAGACGTCCTTGCCAGCCTAAGCATTTCTGTTCCACAATTTACTCTGCCAAGATGATGCTGTTTGCCACATAGTTGAAACAGGCTCTAGATTACATTACATCTTCCCCAGTTGTAACAAATAATGATTATGAGAACTCTGTAGGAATTAACAATTTGACTGAATTTCAGCGTGTAGCCACTGAATACCTGGTGTCAGTGTATTGTATATAGAAAGTGTACAGTTCTGAAAAAACCCTGTTTTCTGAAAATTGGGGTTGTCAGTTTGAAACTCTTTCAGAGCACCATCATTTTCGACTGATGAGCACAGTCAAGTTCAATCCTTTAATGAGAACAGAAATCACAATAATCTCATCTTGTTTTTTTGTTTTTTTGTTTTTTTAACTCATAATCTCAGCCAGAAATCTTTCAGTTCTTAGATGCTAACTTATATTAATATTCTGGAGAAACGTGTGCATCTGTGACATAACTTTAGGTGAGTGTTTGAACCATGAATGTGTCATCCCAGATTTGACCTTGAGGGTCACAGATACACACCTTTTTGACAGGTGCAGTGTCACTGAGTTCAGTAGACTTGCTGAACTAGTGCTGCAGCTGGAAGAAGAGTGTTACTTTTCTGTTTTTATCTCTTTCATTTCTGCATTTGTGTGGTTCCATGGCAAGTGAGTTTGTGAAATACAGCTAAAGTAAAGATTGTGAAAAGCATTGTGAGATTGGCTTTGGTTCACTGCACTGCATAAACTGGTGTATATAAAGCTTTTAGACTTCACACTGCATGTCAGGTGAGGTGTGCTAGCAGTTGTCTCTTAGCTCTGGAGCATGTGTGTGTTAATTCTCTGTGAGGTGGGACAGCACGCAGAGTAAGGTATGGTATCCAGATGGTTGTATGGGGAGCATTCTGTGCTCAGTGGTGCAGGATGTTCTTGCCCATGTTGTGTGGATTCTGGCGCACTGTATAGACCACTCCTTAGCAATGTTGGTACTGTCAACATAGTCCACCTCGATAATGTCAGACTTAACGTTTTACATTCATTTATCTAATGTATTCATTTTTTTAGTCCAAATTGGGCTTAATGTTATATCTTCTGCATCAAGTACAGAAGGGCATATTCTGTACTTGAGCCTGTATTTAAAGCAGTTGCTTAGCCTTGGAGCTGACATGTTTGCACTTCTCTAGAAGTAGCTTAGCTTACTTCAGTTAGGCAACATAGAGTGAAAAGGCCATTAAATGTTTGTAGTAAAAAATTATTGAACTTAACATCTATGAAAATTAGAAAATATCATATATAGGGTTATCTTAAAAAAAAAAAAAAGAAAAGAAAAGAAAAAAAAGTACTATGCCCAAACGTTTATCTTTAGAGTTGTTGTTTAAATAGTGGTTTTGATTGAAGTAACAGGTTGTTGTCCAGAATCAGAATTTGGCTTACACAGATCTGATTAATGGCAAAAGTTTATATAATTCTTAAATTTTTAATCTTGCACTTTGAAATATTTGGTAGCAATCAGATGACTGGAGTAATAATTCTGTTCCAGACTGAAGTATCTTGGTGTGCAAAGACCACAGTTTTTATGCTTTGTGTAATCAAAAACATTATTAGTAGTTACACTAGGAAAGAGACATGTTTTAGAACCCAGGGATTGCAAAGCAGGCTTATACTTTCTTTCTGAAAAGGATACTTGCAGTAGTATTGTTCAGTAATGGATTTGTATGCTGTTCTGTGTTTGATATTTTTTACTAAGACTTGGAGGTGCATGAGGGAATTTTTTTGAATGGGAGATGTTAGTGCTTAGTAGCAAGCAAATGACAGGTTAAATAAACCCTTTTTTGCGTAAGGCTGGTATGAAAGGCAATAGGTAAGCTCAGAGTCAAACTAAAATACAGTGTAGAATGATGTAGCATTAGCTAACCAGTCACTGTTTTTCAGATAATTTCTGTCTAAGGCTTGTGAAATGTATTTCTAAGTGATGCCAGTTCTGAAGGAGAACTAATTTGCTTAAAAAAATACTTCTGAATGACAGTGTGACTGTAGCAGCAGGAAAATCAGTCATTGAGGTTGTGCCACGGTGTTGAAAGGAATGTCTACAGCATCATCGTTGGCTGCTTTAATTATATACTGTTTTAATTATAAGGGTTCTTTTTGAGCTGTGTCTTGGGCTGACTCACTTCACCATGTATTATTTTTTTTTGCCTTGCTCTGTGGTTCTGATGCAGAACCACAGGCACAGGTTGAATAGCTTTAGAGACTTCTGTCCACATCTATCCTCAGAGATGCCAACTTCTAGTGGCCAAGGTGGATCAGCAGCCTGGGAGGTAGCTGCAAATTATCACTCAGTCTCCTAAAGAAAGCTGGCGTTAACTTGTCTGTTTTCGTGATCATGCTGAGCAGTATTTTTTGCCTGTTTAGCAGCTGCTTCACAGTCCATCATTGTATCTGGTAAAAGAACAGCAAGAATTTCTAGAAGATGCAGATGATACTGTGAATGACAAAATAGGTACCAGCTAATTTTAATCCGAGATAGAATGTTCAAGCTACTATTATATTAATATTTTCTCTGTCTTAAGATATAAGCTATCTCAGTTCCATTCCCCAGTGCTGCTCCCATGGTGCTCAGTCAGTGCCACTCATGCAGCTGTTTTGAGGGATGGTGCAAAGTCACTGAAACTGAAACCCCCAGTAAGGTGATGCTTGAAAATGTAGCATTATTAAGATCTATGGCAGCACACATCTATGGAAATGAGTTTTGGGCAAGAAGGAACTGCAGCATGCTAGCTACTATGGAGTTCACTGCTGTATTAGATATTTGCATATTTTGCATATTTTAACTTTCTCAATTTTAGATGCTGAATTTAATCAGTCATCTAAGCTCTTTTGTACCAAAAGGCAAGAACTAAATACCTACAGAAGGTAATTATTCTGTGCATCTATTTATGTAGTGATTGGTTACAAAACAACCGTTGCTGTTTAATAGCTAGCTTCTGAGCATCTGAAGTTGGGTTTGGAAGATGTTAAGAGGCAACTTATATCCTTTCCAGCTTATCTTCTATTTACTGCATACTTGTAGGATAGTTTGTTGAAGAGAACTGTCTGTCGATTGTTAATGACCTTTTTCGGTTAACGTCTGAATCATCATCATTGTGTTGTATCCTTATAGCAAGAGGGGTAGCTTACATGAAAAGTCTTGCTGAGACAATGAAACTGTTACAATACAAAGAGCATTATTTTGTTCAGCAGATAAATTTCATGCTGAGTTAGGCTGTATGTGTTGCACCATTCTCAGAGGCTGAGAATTGTTGATAATTCTATTTCTGCTACCATTTGTTAATCTCCCCATTATATTTATGGTGGGAAGTGTAAGCCTTATCTTTTTCTTTTAGGTTGACAATTGCATTTTTCGCGCTCTCTGGTCTGGATATGTTGGATTCCTTAGATGTGGTGAACAAAGATGATATAATAGAATGGATTTATTCCCTTCAGGTCCTTCCCACAGAAGACAGTGAGTGAGTTTTTAGTTTTTATTTATTGATAATAATTTTACTCTTGCTTTTCACCTGCGTAAATAGTGGTATGACTTTAAAAGAAAAAAAGCAACAAAAAACCTCGAACTTGACCTTCATAATTTCAAATAGCAATATCTAGCAATTCTTAGAAACAAATAACATCCTCTTATGAAGTAAAAGTAGAAGTGTTTAGTTTTAACTTCTTTATGTATTTAAAGTGAAGCTATGAACTGAATTTCAAGGTAAGACAGTATAAAATAATAATAATGAAGCTGCACCGTTAAGCATCTCAGAAAAATGTTTCACCTTTTCCTTAAAGAAATGCATTCTGAATAAGCTGTATGGACCTAGAAGTGGTTATATTGACTTGCCCCAGTTGTAGCCATGCCAGAAGCATTGAGCACAGGTATGGTTATTTGGAACAACTGTTGGAAAAAGGGAGATTAAGAAGCAGAAAGGATAAATACAGTTCCACTTTTGAAATGAAAAATCTGTTCTCTAGCATTGTGATTTTAATTTACCTCACGTTTTGGGTAGTAATGCTGCTGGTGTGTCCCGGATGTTCCCAAACTGGAAGGTGCACAGCAGCTCCAAGCTGGGGAGGGATCTCACGGGAAGTGGTCCTCTACAGGTAACTTGAAAGAATTTGAGAGAGAGGATATTTCTGGCATTTTTCAGTGGTGGTGCAGGTGAGTGGCTAATAGCAGTGGAGGAGATGGAATGGAGGGAGCTGTGAGTGAGACACTGCTATTTTATGATGACAGGTACTGCATGTTCAGCACTAAACTGGAGATCGCTCCAGGCTGGTCTTAGAGCAGAGATAATTCCAGGTGCTCTTCTGTGAAAGAAAAGGACATTTATGAAGTGAGCATGTGGAAGTCAAGGTTGCTTACAGATATTTACAGTCATAAAGAGATTCTCTTTCTTATTGTGGCAACTTAGAAACTATGAGATCCACTTTGGACATTAATAGATTCTTTCCTTCTGTTATACTCTGAGACAAATTACAGAAAATTGTTCCCACAAGAGAAGGCTCCTGTCCCGTAGTGCTATAATTTTTTTTCCAAGGTGAACATACCTTATTTGTAGGAGTTGAACACTTTCTGTTGTGTCCCAGTCTTCAGGACTCTATTCTAACAGAACAGTGAAGCTTCAGGAAAAGAGATTAATTCTTTTTAATTCGTCTTTGATAGAGTTTGAGGTGTTTTTTTTTTTCTACCTAGCCAGTATCTGGGGTACTCCCATAGTCAGAAATCTTCTAGGAATGTCAGTAGGTCAGTATAACTCCCAGAGACAAACACAGAGTCTAACAATCCAGGAAAGATGTCTTTTTTTTCTTTTGCTTAGCATTTAACAAAATATAATATTACAGTGCAGTAGCTTTGGGGAAGATGCCACTGGTGCAACATTCTGTGCTTTTAAATAAGTCTCTTTTTTTTCTGCAAAAGACCAAACTTCCCTCCAGTCCTCTATCCATCAGTTGATGAGAAATCTGATATCAGGCTATCTTGCTTTTGCTGATTACAGTGCTCTGTGCAGTCAGTTCACCACTAAAGTTTCCACATTATTCCATTTCTGTGTTACCTGATGGATAAATACATTACGTAAAATGTAAGTAATATTAACAACAAAATGGATACTGGATGACCGAATGTTCAGAATGGGAGCATTCTTGTAACATGTGCCTTCAATAACATGTATTGGTTTTAGTATTTGTTATTGGGCATCCTTCCAGCAATGGTACCTTAAGTACTAATTAGATTTCTTAAATGAAATGTAAATTAAAAACAAAAAAAAATGGATAATGGATTCCCCAAAACAAAA